AAGCTTTCGCCGCCTGCTCGTGAGACTCCGGGCTCTTCCAGCATGTTTCGCACATCAAAACCCCAGACTTATCCCCCCGTGTGCAAAATTGCTTGCACGAGCACCCTTTCGTCGACCTCGTCTTGCAAGTAGGGTTCAAGCACAGGCGTCCACTCTTGAGGGTGACGCTACCCCACACGGGGTCGGCCGGCTTGTTGTCCGAGGCCGGACGCCTCCCACCCTTGTTGGGCCTCGCGACGTTACACTTCGCCATAAGGAGCGTTGCCATCTGTTCATCCCACACAGCCCGCTCTACCTTCGACAGTGTCGCCAACTCCGTCGACGCAAGCTCCAACTCTTCCAACTCACCCCCTGGTGTAATGGGCTTCTTGGGCTCTACCTCTCTGATCAACAGTTCTACCCACTTGCGAAAAATCAGAAACGCGTTGGTCAGCGCCTGCTCCAACTTTGCGTCATACACACGGCGCCAGAAGTTCGTGTAGGACTTGTGGTCGTGCGTGTGAGACCCGTTCTGTTGGTCGGCCAAATCCACCCCCAACATGTTCAGAAAGTAATCCATACGCGTCCAAGGCTGCTGCAAATCCAGAGGTTCCCCGTTGCGGCCCTTCGCTCTCAGTCTGCACAACAGAAGACGCGCAGGGTAAAGTTGCGAGGGGGCTGCGTGTGAAAAGAGGGACGAACAGGCTTAGGCTGGCGAGCAAAAGGGGTGCATGGATGTGGGGCACAGGCTTGAGCACAAGGACGACCACCGTCAACAGAGGTAGCACGACACAGTATCCGACTCCGGCTGCGAATGTACTGAGTCTCTTAAAAGCACCCCGTTCCCCCCTACCCCGCACCCCCCGCGGATGCACTCGTGCTCGTGCGTCCAGACAATACCAGCGTAGACAACATGCTAACCAGAAAAAAGTCAAGAAGAACACTAGTCAGACTCACGATAGAGGCAAAGGCTTGAAGTGGTCGATTCCACCTGCCTCCTCCTTTCCCTTGGCCGGTTGCGCGACGTGGATGGTGCTGATGAGGAAGACATCCTAGGAGTCAGCCCACTGCACGCACGCCACTTGCCCCGAACGGCAGGAGTCATGTCGCCGCGGTTAGGAATGGTACGCCCGAGGCTCTCGAGGTACGCATCAGCGCCGGCAGTCCGATCGGCGCGGCAGGTACCTACAGCGAAGATGTCGTGGGAGGCGAGGCACTCGAACAGAGTGGGGGAGGTGAAGTAGTTGTCCATGGCGATGAATACCCCCGAGCCATCGATCTTCTGCCTCAACACGCCGCACTCCCCCAACAGAACGTGAAGCAAGTGGCGAGTAGTCCGGCCGAGCGGGCAGTCCATCTAAGGGCGAAGCTTGGGGTCACCTTTCATGCCGCCATCCACGCTGCTGGTTAAGCAGTAGCCCGTGATATCGCACGCCGCTAGTAGCTTCATGCCTGGCACACATCAAGAAAAAAACGGACGAACGTCCGCCGACAGGGAGGCCGAAGGGACCAGCTGTGGTAAGACTAATGTTGTGTCGGAAGGCCAACAAAATAAAAATAATGTTGGAACCAGCAGCTGTTGACACCAAGGCGTATCAATGATTGCCGGAGTCTGCGATCACTGATGTACAGAAAAAGAAATGGCGTTGTGGAAGAAGCGGGAAAACGCCGCACCGGGGCGTGGATAAGTGCCACCACCCAACTCGACGGCCCCCCTCAACCCCTACCTCTCTCTACTTTTGACAAGAAACACATCGGATTGTTCACGTGTACCACGGTCAAACTACTCTCGGAGACCCCTTTCGTGATACAAGCTTTCAAATGCGTGCGCATGCTCACCGTGCTTGATGGGCTTCGCCGGGCAGTAGAAAGAAACCTTGCTCGAGTACTTCGAAACAGTCTTGATCATTTGCTCGTCGTACGACAACCAATTGTCACACTCGACGTTCGCCGCCCATGCAGTGTTGAGGATCTCTTCTAGCTCCCTGCCAGACAGGGAAGAGCACCAGAAACACAGCACTTTAAAGGTGGGCCGTTACCGGCAGGAACACGCTCGTCATTTGTCATTTCTATCTACTGTACCAGGACGACTACAAGACAATATTGAGTGTCGGGTGATGTACTCGACGGAAGAAACCTCTACTCATAGAGCGTGCATGTGCCAAACTTCACTGCCAGCAAACCAAAAACAAACCATACGGCCCGCACATGAAATAGCGGCGCCGTAGACGGGGGAGAATCTTCGACTTTCCGGGTGGCTTCGGTACCCTTCGACCCACGTCTGTCCCGCCCCCACCATCCCAACTGCAACAAAACCGAAACGACGAGACCCAAACGAAATCGACACCCCAGGTTTTCAACAGGACACACAGATTGAAAACGAAGACACCTGATATGCCACTTGGAGTCGTAATCTGGGTTTTCTTCGCCATCGGGTAGCAGTCGCTCCGGAGCGTTGGGGTCGGAGCAGTGAAGGAAGCGGCAGTACAAGAGCTCGAACACGTCGCGCGACATGCACTTCTGGACCAGCGGGTAGTTGTCGTGGGCGGACCGGCTCCAGTGCTTTCGCATCCGGACTTTCTTCGTGAGGCCCATGGTGATGAAAATGCCGATCATGCCGTCGATGTGCTGCTCCTCGAACATGCCGTAGGTGTTGCGCTCCTCGGACCGCTCCCCGAGCGTGACGCGACCGAGCGTGGCGGACTTCTTCATCTGGTGTGGCTTCCGCTTGTCTTCTTCACCGGTCGGCGGCGCCGTCGTGCAGTGCTTGACGTAGGCGTTCGTCTGCCCACAAAATAACGGAGGAGCGGGGGCGGGGTGGGGGAGAGAGACACGGAGGTTAGATGGGGGCGGGTTTCGAGGCAGGTTTCGAGTCAAAGCCGTGTGCAAGGCTATTTCAGAATCGTGGCAGAGCTATTGGGCGCACGGCAGCAGGGGGGCAGCGACTTTGTGCGGGGTGGATGGGTACCGAAGAGAGGGCGGGCGGTAGGTCTCGGGTTGTTTATGCACCTTCATCGTACATATTCGGTTTCACCATTGCAAGCACTGGAAATTCCTGTTTCAATACTCCGCGCACACGCGCACTACGGGACACATGAAAGCAAAGCGGCGCGTGTCGCAACAAAACAACATAATTAACATACCTTATCCAAAAACAACTTTCGCGCCTTTTGCGGGAAAGTGAGGTCCAAGCACTTCTCCAAGACGAGGTCAAGCGAAAACTCCCCGCTGGTAGGGTTCTGGTGCGACATGAAGTTGTCCAACGATGGCAGCGCGGCGCGAGCCTCTGCCGACAACGAAACTCCACGCCCGATGTCTTTTGACATCTTGTTGCGCCTCGTGAAGTGGTCGGACGTTTCGTAGTCCTCCATCCCCCTTTCCGTCCACACCACCTCCTCGTCACCGCTCTCCTCCTCTAGCTCTGGGGGTGGCGACTTCCTGGACTTGGACTTTTTCTTACGCTTGGGGTTGGTGGCTTCCTTCTTCTTCTGCCGTTCATATGGGAGCTGCTTTCAACACGTCCAGCGAACAAACAAACGTGAACAGCGATGGTTGGGAAAACAAAAGAACAATTGGTGGAAATGCGGACACACGCGCGAAAAACAACCATAAGCGTATCACTACGGGCGTGAGGCGGGGGCGTGGAAGTAGGCCACATGTTTTCGGACTGAACGATGTACAGCAGC